CACACACACACACACACACACACACACACACACACACACACACACACACACACACACACAATAAACATGTTTTTATTAGAGTCCAGATGGGACAGAGAGCAGAAGAAACACTTCTCTAAAAATACAAACTTAACTCCAAAATGTTGGAACATGAAGAGATTTCTGTGTCTCCTCATGTTAGGACAGAGTGTCGACTGTACTCGCATCTTTTTTTTGTGCTGGCATTTTTCTACCATGCTGTTGCTGTGGTAACAGGAGGACCCAAGACAGGTTGAGGCATGATGGCTGCTGGATTTTCTTTAAGCTATAATGTGACTAATTCATGAAGAGGGGGTAAACGCGGACAAGAGCAGCTCTGTGTCAGACCTATGTTTCAATTGTCCCGTGTCAAGTTGTTTTGTTTTAAGTTGGCAGTTGTGGGYGAAGATTGTGACCGACCGAGGCAGCTCAGAGACACGTTCTTTGACACTTCGGACCTTAAAGGAGTTTTCAATCATTCCTTCTCACAGCTTGAGGCTGAGTAAGCAGAGCTTCCTGAAACTGTGACACACTTTGTTGTTTACCTCAGGAGAGTGTTCATCTCTATCACTGTTTAGACCAGTTTTATTCTGTATAAACTACAAGGAAACAACAAAGTGGCTGCTCTGGATAAACATATCTGGATTTCACAAATGAATATCAATATATCACAACAGAAACCTGAAATAAAACGGTAATCCCACGATAGCCATGTTTACATGGACATAAATAATTGGAATAAACGGTTAATTGGAATAAAAATGCATCACGTAAACATCTTAGTCGTAATATTCTGATTCAGCTYGATCCGAATTAATCTGAAATCCGAATGAGAGGGGAGAATTACGCCGATTGATAATCTGAAAGACGTACTTGTAAACACTTGGCACGGGTCCATTCTGGGTTTATGTTCATCACAGAYGTAAAACTTTTGTAGGGAAAGTTTACATCTCTGTGCATGTCAGTGCTTCTATTCTGAATAAAAGCTTGGTGCATGTAAACGCTCAACATGATTGGATTCATTCATTTTGTGCTCATATAAATGACACATTCAGATTATTTAATCCAATCAAAGAATTTTGAACAAGTAAACAGAGCTACTGGCATGGTCTGTAGATCGTGAAAGGTTAGTTAACTTTATTAATTTTCTTTAAAAATCAACAACATAAATTCAACAAAAATACAAAACAAATTAAATGAAAGGTAGCAGAAGAAGAAAAAAATTCACATCTGCCCCTTTTTCTCAAATAAATAAATTCAATCAAAAATAATCTTTAGATCTGATTCAAAAGACAATTTATATTCTGTCTCCATTAGACTAAAAAAGTGATGTGCCTGTGTGTTTTCACTACAACAATCATTAGCAAAAAACTGTGACTTAATAGGAAAACACTTCTATAAAACGCTTTTCTGAGAAACACAGGCGAAGACAATAAATGAGCGAGAACAAACAGGAACCACTTCACTGCTAAATCATCCAGAGGTAAAAAGTCACTAAAACCCCTCACGGACTGAGAAAGAAAAACAAACAAAAAAATTCTGCTCGTCTTTTTGCTGATATGTATCAGACTGCACAACATTAATAATTCTCCACATTATTCCCCCACCCCTGAGTCTTAGTAATACATGGAAACATGCAGCCCTCTGTTGTAAAATGATACTTTGGACACGACGAGCTGTTTGGATTGAAAACATTTTACGTTAATGAACCAAACAAAAAAAAAAAGGTCCAGCACATTTGGATTTTCTAAAAATATGGGACATTATGTGGTGGCTCAAACAGGCACTAGTGATAAATAAGTGACTCATAACCACACAAACACATTTTCTATTATTTGGAGCGACCACTGAACAACTGACACAGTTAAAATAAAATACAGTTTTCACTAAAGTCCTAAGATGTGCTTTGTTCATCCTTTCTGCACATAACTGCTGTGATGTACATATTAAAGAGCAGCATTCCTTAAACATTAAATAACTGCAAACATACTGAAGTTTTCAGCTGTGTTGCTTTTAGAATTCATTTTTAAATAAAATTAGTTTCTGAAGGATTGAATAAAAACTTGAAACAAACGTGATTTTTAATGTACATTTTGAAAAATTCTCTTGATTCTGATTTGCAGAATGTGAGCTGAAATGTTCAACTTTATAAATTATTTCAAGCTTTTTACGCTGTAAAAAAAAAGTCTCACTTGAAGTTAAGTTGTTTGAAGGTGAAGTGCGTTTCCACGATGCCCGTGGTCTTGACGCGAGTTCGCAGCACGTCTTGCTGTGTGGGGATGTAGTCGGATTTGGCTATCCTCTCCAGGTCATTCAGGTAGCTGACGGAAAAACACAAACATTTTGTTTTCATCTGGGAAGATTTATAATCACAGTAAATATAGAATAAAACAATAATCTGGTTTAATTTGGTTTCTGGTTAAATCTGACTTCAGCTGATGAATTAATAAACCAGGACACAAGTCATAATAAGAAGAGAAATGATGGACACCAATCAGAATATTGACTAAGTTAAAAAAAAGAACAARTCCACATGGCACGCCTCTAAGAGACACATTTGACAAAGAACACCAAAAATTAAAAAGCAGGTCTTTGCATGATATCACAAGTTCACAGCATGTACGTTATATTTATCTGATAAGAAAAAAAAATATATATATATATATTTAGCCAATCACAGTGCAGTTTTTTCTCACACATGGAAACATTTGAATGTAGATTTAAATAGCAGATTYATCTCTAATAACACAACATAATTAATTATAATATAATGTGGATGTGAGGTTTATCTCATAAACCCTGTTTTAAAACCATTTGCCAAAAGTCTGGATATTCAGATACGMATATCTCACAAACACTTTACAGATGTTTACTTAAACCATCTCAACTACACAGAAATGAACAAAACTGGATGGTTTTAGCTGTAATGCCTCTTCTCTACACACAGATTTGATTAAATTTGTCAGCAATCAGTCAAGGAAGTGGACATAACATTTTGCCAGGGCAAAAACAAAAGGACAGTTCTCAAATAAAAAATTGGCTTTTATGTAAAAGACTGACTTTTGTCTTATTTGTTCCATATGATGAAACAAAATGCTGGAGGAAAACTTTTATTTCTGTCTTGTGACCCATTATACASTGATATAAAAAGGTCTGTATAGATAAATATAAAAAACTAATCCCAGACATGCCACCATCTCATTGCGACTATTTTGGCTTTATCATTACCTTCTACAAGGTGTTGGGAGTTGAATCATAATCCCCCTCCCCACAGAGTGCTTTATGGTGCTTTTATGAAGTTCTGCTTCACTGAAGTTACTGAGAGAAACAGAGTTTGTCTCCCAGCTGCAGTGTGACAGAGGCTCATCAAAGAATAAATGATGGTTTCATAAGAGATACAGAACCCATCCAGCTCCATACGATGTTTACCATTATCATTTTACCGAGTTAGTATCCAAACATAAAAGCAAAACCCAGAATGATGCTGCACACAGATCGTTTATGGGATACAGATTTGTGAAGAAGTTAGACTTGTTCCATAAATAACACTTCCCATATCCATTTATTTCACAATACCCCACACCCTCCTCCTCTTTTAATCTGTAAACAAACCCAGCTCTGAGAAAAGAGGCCCGTGTCAATGGGAGGCGTGCTTCTAGCCTTTTTCACACTTTATCTTCCTTTACTTTTTCTCTGGCTCCCATCAGGTGCTCAGACATGTAATGAGGTCCAGTGTCTGACTCATTTAATCCTCCCTTATATCAGCCTGCTCTTTCAGCGCTCCATAAAACCTTGAAGAAACACCGTCCACCATCCCCTGGTGCTAACTGGGAGGCCGGGTTCGCAGAATGTTTCCAGGTCCTTCCTCAGCCACGATGCAGAGATGGAGAGGTCGAGCCAATGCAAACAAAAGCCCCCCCCCCCCCCCCCGGGAGTTCAACTTCGAAGAACGGTCATATCTGAAACGTTTTATACTCTGCCAGGTAATGGGAGATTATAAAGATGTTATAGCATCATAAAAAAGGCTTTTATTTAAAGACAATTCTACTCAGGTTGCAGCTTATAGGAGGACTGCGACAAAAAACACGGGCGTCTGTATCCTCTGGATGCCTAGAATCAGCGCATCCCTGAGGATTAGACCGATAACTATCTCTCACTTCTTACCAGCAGAGTCTCACGTTCGCCTCATGCTCTCGTGTGTTCCACTGACAGATAAGAACAACGTGGCTGACAAACGGAGCACTCAGGAGAGGAGAGTCGTTCAGGTAATTGAGACTTTAATAGAGGAGGTCGAGACTGATTGAGCTGGTGCTGCTGATTACAAAACGCAACCGCTTTCTGAAAGCAGGGCCACCCGATAAACAAATCGTTCATCTTTTCCTCCATATCAAGCACACAAACTGGAAACGCAATGAAAGAGGGAGTTAAGTGGCAGCTGTGATGAAAAGCTGGATGAATTCTTTAATAACAGAGGAGAAGAAGCTGATCATTAACTCTACAACACTGGATCATCTTTGATTAAGTGAAAACCAATAACACTGTCTGAGAACTAACTGTGGTAACAAAATGTAAAGAAATTTAAAAAAGGCAATAAAACACATGGATATTTAGTAAAATTTAATTTAGTTCACACCAATGGTGGTCTTGAAAAGGATTTTTTTAAATTAGGGTTCTGTAAAGTAGTTTTAAGTAGCAACTATCTTACTTGTAGTAAATGGAGATGCTCACAAATTGAGATTATAAAAAACGAAAATAAACTGTCATACAGGAGTAAGGCTAATGGCTAATAAGCCTGTCTTAAAGCTGATTTCAGCCACATATGTAAAACATTCCAAATTTTAAAAATGAATGCGTGTGTGAGCAAATGCTGTTATCAAACTACAAACCTCTACTTTTTTTGCGAGAGAACCATTGTTTAATTTGTTACTTTTCTCCAGTGAATATCTGCATTGTGACAAAAGTCTGTGTTGAAGCTGCTGTTTGTATCTGCCTATTTGTTTTTCTTTCTTCTTTTTTTTCTTTTTTTTGCAATGGATAGGCAGCATTTATGATTGCGTGAAAAACAAAAATCTAGGATAAGTGAAAGTCCTGTAACTGTGAGCAAACTTATGAGACATATTAATCTATACAGAGTTCTTCGGGGGTGATGGGAAACTCACTAGGATGCAGAGTCGTTGAGCTGGTACTCCCGGGCCCGTGTGAAGCAGCTCTGGACACCGCCGTCCTCCCACAGTCGCTGGATGATTTTAGACATTTCTTCTGGCAGGTTGCCCTGCTCTTCTGCAGTAGCAGACAAAGAAAACAGCTGGCGAGCATCATCCTGAGGAGAACAAACACATATTTACAACAATGTCGTAAGACACATGAAATCTGAGGGGGGAAAAGTACTGTAAAGACATGTGACAAAGGAACAGAAACAGATGAAAAAATAATAAATTATACATCAATTATCTATAAAAAGGCACAGTCATACTTCTGTCTCAAGAACTTCTTTGATCCGTAAAGATATTTGAGCTATTAAAACATTGTTTTAAACCACAAAGAATATGGTCTTTTTGCAAATCCAGACAACCCAACATTTAGGTCACTCTTTCACTAGTGAATCTAATTAATTTGTTGCACCATGAAACGGGCAGAAACCGCACCGCTGTGACCCTGTATGTTTGACTCCAGTCAATGACGAACATAAACTTTTGATGTAGAGGGTAGACTTCCACGTACTGGTTAACCATTATCTGACCCTCAAACCCATGGAGGCTTTAGCTAACAGCAGGGCAAAATAGCCGGTATAACACACGGTGCCCTTTAATGTTCAATGCTTACAAATATTTAAATCCTGTTCTTAACAAAAACATTTTTTATTTACTTATTTCTGTCTGTCAGTAGAAAACACGAGGAATAACGAACTGAGCAGTCAATACGTAGACGCCAATACATTTACTGTATACTCCCAGCTCTGCAGGAGTCCCTTTATTTAAAAAAATGTGCCCAAGGAAAAAATGAATTATTCTATCTGCATTATTTTGATGCCACTGAAGTGTGACTCACAATAAGTCTTCATAAGTGCTAAAGCGATGATGAATAATTTACAAGGATGTGTTGGAAAAATATGCGTTGTTCAAAATGGTATGTCCGAATAAACAGGATTCAGCTGGATTTCTTCTTAAAAAACTTTATTTTTAATCTTCTGACTCCAAACAGGTTCACAGCAGCACTCAGCACACAGGCCTCAGTAAGACCTCAGCACAAGGCCTTGGGCTCATGTCAAGAAAACCCAAACAAAGCAGAGCAGCTCTGCTCCGAGCAGAGACTCTTCAAAAGACTGACAACTTCTCTTCTACTATAATAATGAACACACACACCTTTTACCGTATTTTCCAGATTATTAGTCACTTGGGACTACTAGTCGCAAGACCAGCCAAACTATGATAAAAAGTGACTTATAGTCTGGAAAATATGGTACAACCCAGGGAACACCCTGAATTATTTAGGTGATTACAATTCAGTAGTGAATTCATCAGATTATATTTCAATATTTGGATTATTGTTTAGCCAGATTCCCACAGGTACATAGCAAAAGTTGTGCAAAATTTATCAATTTTATTATTTCTTTTATTGTTTCACTAATCCGCGTCACTGTGAATGACTGTGTAAAAATGATGGAAACCTACCGCTCTGGAACTATCCTCGTAGTCGATCTTCAGGTTGGACATGGCTTTAATGATGGCCATGATGGACTGGATCGTGTTGCTGTAGACAACTGCTCTGTACTGCTTACACTCATCCTCTGAGTAACCATCCTCATGAATAATCCTGGAGAGAAAAAGGTCAGATGATRAAAAAAATTCTAGTCAAAATTAGAGCCKTACAATCAATCATTATACTGGAYATACTGGTGCACAAAATACTACAAAGCACAAACTGGTCACGCTTGAGCGACTGTGTACTAATGCAAAACCTTTCACAGCTATTACTGAGCCAGACCTATTTTTACTTAGAACATTCAGGTGGGTTTTTTTCTCTATTAATCTTTCACTAGAACAAATATTAATTTGCTATGGAAATGTGGACAAAGAAGAAGTTCAAACAAAAGGGGGCATGTGTCTGAAAAAGCATAAGGTTGAGAAGGAAGCTGCTGGGTTGGAAACCAAACAGAATCGTTTCCTCTGGTGTGTCGCAGCCAAGATGTTCAGTAGTGGTGTGATGCATTCAATAGAATCTAATTGAAATTCAAGTGCGCTCGCTGCGAAACACTATGAGGCACAGCCAAAATTACTGAAAGCCCAAGATGTTTTCACCCTCATGCAAACAATAAAATGATGTGTGAAGCAATTAGAAAGCTTGTCACTCAACCCCCTCTATCCGAAGTTTTCCTGAAGCATTTAAACAAGTTAACCGAAAGTAGWCTTTACTTATTTCAACAAATGCACAACTTTAATCAATATGTATTTGGTTGYATGTTAACTTAATTTACCGAGTCTTGACTGGAATATTATTACTTTTCCTTTGGTCCAAGTCCAAAAGTAAAAAGTGTTACACCTTCAGCATCATAGTTTATGATTTACAATTCAGAGTAAAAAAGTTTATGATCGACCAGGTGAAGGTGCTCCACACACCAACRAACATTATCTTTAAATCCTCCTGAAATCTAAGGTTTCAGATAGCCTTTGCAAGCTCTTCAGTTTTACACCCCTTAGGAGGTTAAAAAAAAAGTACATTCATGGCCTTTTTGATCTGATTTCTTCTGATTTAAATGCTTAATGACAAAGTACAAAAGTAAAAGTGGAAGTAAACAAAGTTGTTTTAGTTAGTTGTTACAAAGACTCACTTGTGTCTAATATAATTTTGTCATGTTTAAAAAAATATGTAAATGTAATAAGCAAAGGGAAATAATAGCTGTAGTGTACCGAAGTCAATCATTTCTGTCAATTCAGATGAGAAGCTCAAAAGAAAGTGGGCTAAGAAGTTCATTTTTTAAAAGGAAAAGATCAATGTTTTGAAGTGGCTAAAGTCACATCCTGATCTTGACCAAACAGAAATCTGAAAGTTCCTGAAGATCAGGAGGCAAAACAAACCAACAACCCAGAGTTGAAGCTGATCTTGAGGTAGGAATGAGCTAAACTTTGTCTGAGCCAATACACACGGCTGATTGACTTTATTAGGCTCATTTACTTAAAGCCGCGCAGAAGGTCACACCAGATAATGAATGAAATGAAGCGTGTCGACTTCAACAAGCACAGACCCAATCAATATTATTTAATAGTAAAGCAACTGTCACCATTCGTCTCTATTGTTAAAAAAATGATCCATATCGATTTATGGAAATATGTGAAGTTCTGATTCTTGAAGAATCGATTACTGCAGAATGATTAGAATTTCTTAAAATTAACTTGGTCTCATTTAACTGGCAAGCTGCATTTCCAACTCCAACTCCAAGTACAAAGCTTATCTTTCTATAAACGTATTATAATTCTGACTCATGGTTGCACTTGCACAGAACACTGAGAATGTTAAAACAATTGGAATGCGTATGGTGGTCCGTGTATATTAACAACAAAAAATGAATCTCACTAGAAGGAGATTTGTGCTTTAAACCAAGTTGGAAATTGTGGAGAGAGGAAAAGCAAAACAATTAGCAGTCACTCACTTCATCTGCTTCACAATGGTGCTCTTCCCCGACTCTCCAGCACCTGCAGAGAGAACAAAAACAGCCAGAGGTTAAAAATACGCTCCTGTTAGCTGAGAAATGTAAACAGGCAGCCAGCAAAGCTGTCTCACATCTGGACCCTTGTCTGCCTCCCCCCATCCTCACATTACGCAGCTCTRGTTTCAGCTCATTTTCTTCCTGGACGAGCCTTTTGTCCGGCACATATTATTCTGCTCTCTTTAGTATGCACTTAGAGTGAAATACTTAGCGTAGCAGAAACAAGTGAATAAGCACAAACCACCTCTCTTTTGCTCCAAGTTACTTCATCACAGATAACATTTTCATGGAAAAGTCCAGCTCTGCCAGGTTTTTGTCATCCTCCATTGTGTTTGTTCCAGCAGCCTGAGGGGACCAAAGTGACCTCATCTGCCACAAGGAATCTTAACACTTCACACACCCAGGGGTGCCTCTCAGTGCACTCTGCGTTTGTATACCCAAGAGTGAAGTTTTTCTGGGATGACCCTCAAAATACACAACTACAGAGCAGACAGCATGCACAGTGAAGCCTTTGAGCAGGAACAGAAATCTTTCTCAGAAAGCTGTCAGCTCTTTCTCTTCCAAAGAAGCAGGAGTTCAGACCGTCTAATAAACATCCAAAGACTAACCCTGGACAAGGGTGAAGGGGTGGAGATGTATTTTAAATATACAACCAAAAATGCAACAAATTAAATAGCAGCCAAGGTGTGAGCTGACACAAAAGGGCAAAAAAATAAGATGCCCTGAATGTTACAGTAAACTGGACACATGCATAGTAATGGCAGGCATGTCCAACACATTTTCAACTATATGAAAACATTTGGCTACAAAACACAGTGTATTTTGGAGGTTCTGGAGTGAAGGAGATCCTGAACTTTCCAATTCATCCTGCTGACTTTCAGACTGATATAAACAATCCTGTGAAGTTCACATTAAACTTTGATCTGCAGCTAAAGAATTATTCTAAACATTAGCCCCACATCTCTTGGACCCTGGAAGATAAATTACATAATTCAATATATGCATTGATAGTTTGGAAAACATTTTATGACTCAGCCTCGACCAGACTCTATAATGATGACTTTTCACTACAGTCATAAGCAGACACAACAAGAAACCGAGTGATTGACTAATGCCTGTTTTTTGGTAATTCAGCACAAACTTGGCAAAACATTGCCTATGTAGAAAGCAGGTCAGGGAGCAGAAAATAATTTGTGGGAAAATAAATACTGTCACTGCCTAGCAACAAAGTAACTCTTGCGACYGTTGTGACCATCTCTGACTCATGGCAGAAAATAAGAAACACAGCAGTTGGGGCCTCCACAAGCACATAAAGTGGTAAATGTGTGTTTATAATAACGGAATGAAGAGTGTGAGTGAGAATGCATATTGTTAGAGAACAAGGCCAGTTTTAGAAGAAATATGTGTAAACCTCAACAACAGGTGGGACTTTGCAGAAAAAAACAACAACCTTCCAGCAAAACCCATGAAATCGCCTTWTTACGACTAATGGGCACAATGTAGCTGCCAGAAAGAACATAAAGATGTTGCCAACCAGTGCCTGCAGAACAAACAGGAGTCCATCTGTAACAAGTCTGACCATTGATGGATGGACCCTTTTCACAGACTGACCGTGGTGTCATTAACATTAATGCATTTGAGCCACATAACTTGATGACTGTGGCCCTTCTTGGACACAGATCCACCCTGGTTTCAGGACTGTAATCGTAACAGAGCCAATGAGGGGAAATGACTCATTTATAAACTGTACAGGCATCACAGGACTTGGGATTTTTTATTTTTGTTGGTTTGTTTTGTGCTTCATCAGAACCAAATTGAGTACGTCCACATTTAGGTTTTCATTGGTACATGTCGATGATCAAGCAGTCGCAAGATTAGAACTTGTATTCTCCCACTTTACAAAATAAAAATGGGGGGTAAACCAGCAGTAATGCAAACATGGGGTCTGGGTTTTAGTTTTAGAAATGGGAGAGGGGACTCCACTTTTACTTGATTTATATAAGATGAAATTTTAAACACTGAGGGCAGGAAAAAAATGCATTTTAGCTACAGGTCTTATGTGGTCTTTTACGTTAGCATGTAAAAAATATTACTTTATATCTTGAGGGTCCTTCTAATCTAAACACAATGATGTTGTTTTGTTGCTCTCAGATCAGGATCATGCTGTCATGCTTCAGGGGGTTATATGCACAGAAGTTTTGGAAATTAATCAGATTGAGATCTTAGATATTAAAATACTACCAAGTAAACAGGATTTTCTGATAAATTTAGATCATATTTAAAGTATGTATTTATCTAATTAAAACAGCAGAAATATTCAGTTTGAAAAAACTGCATTAATATGTCCTACTAGAGGTTTTCTGGCATCTTACGAAACAAACTGACTTGCTAATGCAGAGTTAGAGCAGAATATGACAGCTTCAGGGGGAAACCTGAGCAAAGCTCTGTGTTTTTCAGGGATATAGATGTGATAAAGGCTTTGGATGCTGCTGAGGAGGAGGTATAATATGTAATGTGATTACCATCATCGATTGATCTATGCTCTGCAACATGTTAGCAGGAATATGAAAGAATATTACATACGTAACTCACATTACATATGTCAAATTTCCATGCTAAACAATAAAATCATGGGATTTTCTTAAAATGTTAAATTATTCATGATTTTGTTTAATTTGACTGCAGGGTATTTGTTTGCATTTCAACCCTTTTGAGCTTTTAGGTTTAATGTTTCATGTTTATTTTTTCAACAGACCTGCTCATTTAGGACAGTAGGACCTTAAAAGGATTTTCATTGTAGTACATATGTTTTTGAATTATGTCAATGAGCTAAGATGAACTTGTCCTTCCCTCTGTTGAGTGTTTAAATGAAGTGGCAGCTATCACTGGCTGCCTGAACAATGAGAGACGTGTATTTTTCTTTTACGTTGCTGCTATTGTACAAAACAAACTAAAGCTAGTAGTACAAATATTAGTTGTAGTAATGGTGGTACAAAATATTTTGTTCCCTGGTAGCTGATCCTGCGGTAACAGCTTCTTTCTAAAAGTAAAGACAAAGCAAAGTTTAGAGCTCTATTACTTCAATCGACAATGTTTAAACTTATAATCCACTGTATTGGGTTTAAATGAGCATGCAGTGTTTCCATACTAAACTGCTCAATCACATTTCTCTGACTAACACATTCAAATACCTTCACTGAGCATTTCTAATTTGAGCCAGCTGAAGCCATATTTGTATTGGCACCTGGAAAGTGGAAAATGGCACACAGCACTACCAACTGTGACAGTCCGACTCAGAACGTCTTTGAGGTGGTTGTCTTATCAGTTGGCCTTTTAGTTTCATTTGCTCCRTACTGGGAAAGTATTTCTGAAGCTTGGTTTAATCATCAACCCAAAAAAACAGCATGAGGCATCACTCGTCAAACAGAACGCATACACCTATTTATTTTGAATGTTAGTACACTGATCTTTTTTTAACTTGTAATCTTCCCGTCACATCTGTGGTATCTGGAGCTCTGTTACTAAGTGAAACAAGATGATGCAATGAACATAAGCAAACAAAAAGGAAAGCTACTTCCAAATGTTATAGCTTGAAATAAAGTGCTTAAAACAATCTACTTATTTTATTTCATTCATCTTCACTTCCTCACAATAAGCTCCTTACAGCCAGAGGTTCATTATTAAGCTTAAAATGTAAATTTTTCAAAGAACCTCCCACCGCAGCATTAAATCTTTCAGTATATGCGTGGAAGGATGTGCATGTGTTTGGAGTGAGCCCGGCCCGTTCTGGTGGGACTGGGAGCAAATGCACAAAGACAGCAGTGTGGGTATCTGCAAGCTGAAAACACAGAGTCGCCGTTGATGTTTGTACCGGGGCTCTTCTGACCCGACCAGCTCTCGGGCTTTTCACTTCGCTCTCCACTTCTTTCAGGCAGAGTGACAACAGTGTTCACGAGCCACAACAGATCACTTTAAAAAGGGACGAAAAAAAATGCTTCTGGAAACAAAATCAATTAAACTTCATCACTCAGCAAAGGATCGCATGCAAATGTGGAACAAAGTTTATGAAATGAAAGTTTTCTACAGAAGTCACAACACAAATATGGTTTAATACAATCCAAATAATCACTGAAGGTTTCTGTGTTTGTGTCGGCTTTATGTGTTGTGATAGATAGAATAAAAAACGTACACTGGGTTCCTGACAGTACGGTGCCAACATGTGGGCTGTTCCAAAACAAGCTCAGTTAATATAGTTTGTTGGAGATGTAAACATTTAACTGAAAGTGTATCAAAGTGCTGGTTTTACTTTGAATTACAAAATGTTTTGCTTACAGGATAATTATGTGATAGGTTTCCACACTGCCACTGTGCAGGAAGTAAAAGTTAAGCAATAAAAAAATGAGACATCTCATATTTCATAAAGAGTATATTCTTCTAATCACTTTAACTTTATAAAAAATAACATCCTATCATTCTTGAAATGTTGGCAGATTTCAATTATTCGTGTGACAACGGAACTTGTTTGTATTWCATTTGAAATTTGCAGCTCATTTGTTTATGGTTTCCTCCCAGTAAACAATCTTTGCAGCAAATGAGCAAAGTTTTTTGGCGACAACGTTTAGAGGCACACAAACAAAATGTGTTCCCTTTGCAAATGCATACTCAGAACTTATAGGCACAAAGAAGGCTATGACGTCACTGTTTTTTTTTTTTTACAAAAATCCCAGTCTGTAAATGGATAGACCAAGTTTCTAAATTATGGAAAACTTTGCAAAAATATATATATAATATTTCTTACCAATAACACATTTACATGTAAATCCAAATGTAATCGCAGCAGAAAAGGTTTGTTCGGCAAAATATGTTTAATGTGAACATGGTCCCTACATATATTTAGACTATATGATCCGTATGGCAAATACAAAAATAAATAGCCATCATAGAAAGTTTCTGTAATCCCTTTGGGAAAGTATTTTTGATTTGAAC